CGGTGGTGCCAGGAGCCCAAACCAGCCGGTGTGGAAGTGGTTTGGGGTGATGGAAACAACCCCGGTGGTGCCAGGAGCCCAAACCAGCCGGTGTGGAAGTGGTTTGGGATAATCCAGCGGTTTCTGCCGGGTTTTGGGTTTGGCCCCTGGTCCAATTCCCTGCCCTGGGCACGGCTCAGGATCAGCCCTTCCCAGCGGCCCTGGGTGGGGGGAGAGCCGGGCCAGCTCCGGCCTTCTCCAGCGCCCGCCCGCGAATTGCAAAACAACTTTCTGGGTTAACGTCGGCGGCACAAAGGGCTCATTGTGCCGCGCTCCGAGAGCGCCGCTGGCCCCGGGCCATCCCGGCTCTGTGATTCCAGAGGTGCGGGACGGCCTCTCCCACCGCCCCCGGCCGTGCCCGGGACCCCCCATCCCTGTGCCGGCCCATCCCGGGGCAGGACCCGGGTGTTTTGTGGCCCCGGGGACAATCCCCGGCCTATTTTTAGCCTCGATTCCCCGCTGCTTCCTCCGCTCCTTCCTTGTGGTTTGCGGTGAAATCCCCTCCCGGGGCCGTGTTTCCAGCCCGGCTTGGGTGTTGCTTTCCCACACAGGAATGTGATCCCGGCTCCAGCCCCTTTATCTGCGAGCTGGAGCCTTTCCAGAAGGAGGGAGGCATTCCTGGGAGATTACCCAGCCGGGCCTGGCTCACCTGCTTCCTCCTGGCTCTCTCCCCACCCCAAAACGCTGCCAGAGACCCCCGAACGGGAGCAGAGCCGCTCATCCCGAGCCGGGGTGGGAAGGGCAAAGCCTCTCCCTGGTTTCTGAGCTGGGAAAAAAGCGGATCCTCTTCCCGGCCCGGCTGGGATCGAGCCCGGTGCCAGCCCCGGCCGCGTCCGAACCCCCGCGGTTTTCCACCACCTGCTTCCCGCCCGTGCCAGGCCGGATGGTGGGGACAGTGCCCTGTCCCTCGGGGGTGCTGGCACGTCCCGGCCGTGGGATGATGATGCCCTGCCGGCCCTCACCGCCCATCCAAAGGTCTCCCCGAGCCGGGAGCTGCGCCCAGAGCTCGCCGTTCCCACCCAGATCCAGGTGAGGGGCTGAGCCCGGGGCTCGTCACCGGTTGCACTTTGGACACCGGCGGCCATGGAATATTCCGAATTCGGTGCCAAAGCCGCTTCCCCGGCCTCGGTTCCCGGCTGCAGGTTGGTGCCCGTGCTGCTCCTCCCAACCCCCCGCGGCCGGAGGGGCTGCGGCGGCTCCCGGAGGGACGGCGGGGTCCCTCCGATGGGATTTAGGGGCTCCTGATGGGATTTAGGGGACCCTGATGGGATTTAGGGGCTCGGGGGGGTGGTGTGGTGGTTTCCAGGCTGGTGTCAGTTCCTGATCTCGTTATCCCGACACCGGGCAAGGGGTAATGAGCTTAAGAGATAAGGACTCTGCTCCCAACCCCTGTGCCGACTCCAGGGATCCTTCACCTGCAGCTCCTGGGGCTCCAGGGATCCTTCACCTGCCGTTCCTGGGGCTCCAGGGATCCTTCACCTGCCATTCCTGGGGCTGGGGAGGGATTCGGGACCCCCGACAGGCTCGTGTTGATTCCAGATCCCGGGGGAGCCGCCCGAGCTGCCCCTGCCGAGTTCGGCCGGGGTTTGGGAGCAGAGAGGGGCGGTGGGGACCCGGCAGAGCCAGGGCCGGCCAACAGCTCGTCCTTCCCGGCTCTGCTCCCGACCCGACTCCCTGGAAAACGCCGCGTCCCGCGGCTCCAGCCCCGTTTTCCTCCCCGGGGTGGGGGCACAGGAGGAGTCCCGGGCTCGGGGGCGATGCAAGGACACGAGATCCCATCCCCGCGCTGGGATCCCGCTGCTCCATCCGCATCCCTGCTCCATTCCTGTCTCCGAGCTGGATGTGTGTGTGTGTGTGTGACTCCCGGCGTGTGGTTTCGGGGCTGCTTTTTGGTTTTTCTCCGTGTTCCAGCAGCCCCCGGGACACCCTCTGGGATCGGGGGGGTGCGAGCGGGGCTCGTGTCGCTCCCGGTTTATTTGCGGCACAGAAAGGAAGGAGCTGCGGCTGCTCCCGGTGCTCGCGGCGGGGGACGCGCGGTGCCGGAGGGGCGATTTGGGGCCGATTTGGGGCTTTTGCATCACTTATCCCCCCCCCTCTCCGGTGCTCATAGGGCAGCCCCCCCCCTTCCTCCGCTCCCTGTCGGGCCGGCATCGCCCCGGGACCGAGGGGGAGGGTTCCATCACGCTGTTCCCAATATGTCACTGCTCATATCTGTCCCCTCCCCACGGGACGAGGGGGCCCGCCGGGCGCTGGGGGTGATGCTGAGGGGCCCCCGGAGCCGCGGCCAGGCTGCGGCGGCGCTTCCGCAGAAAAAACCGGGAATGCGGCGGCGGCCGAGCCCGGGCTGCGGAGCCCGCGGGAGCGCCGCTTCCCCCCGCATCCCCCCGCATCCCCCCGCTTCCCCCCGCATCCCCCCGCCAAGGGCAGGACGCGCGGGGGGGGTGAAGGCTCCGCCGAGGATGCTGCGGGTGCGGTGCGGGGGTTTCTCCGTCCCCAGAGTCCCCCCCGCGAGCGGCCGAAGCGCTGCCGGTGCTGGCACAGCAAATCCTCGTCCCCGTCCTGTGTCCTGGGGACGCCGCAGCGCTGGCACCGCGTGTCCTCTGGCTCCCGTCCCGCCGGGAAGGCGCCGCCGGACCCTCCTCTGATTCGGGGATACTCACACATACACCCCTCTCTCTCTGCGTCCCCCCAGCACCGCCGAGCCCGCGGCCATGGAGCGGCCGGCGGGGATGGAGAAGCAGAGCCCGGTGGATTACGGCGTCCAGATCCGCTTCATCAACGACCTCCAGGAGCCCCGCAGACCCCCGAAGCCGCGGGGCAAGCCCGGCTCCTACGGCGTGGCCGTGCGGGTCCAGGGCATCGCCGGGCAGCCCTTCGTGGTCCTCAACAGCGGCGACAAGGGCGGCGACTCTTTCGGGGTGCAGATCAAGAGCGACGGGTCCTACCCGACCCCCCCCTGGCCCTCGGGCTCCGTCAGCTCCGACTCGGACCTGCCGGAGAATCCCTACGCGGGGCGGCAGCGCCGGCACGGCTCCTACAGCACCTCGGACGAGGAGGCTCCGGGGGGCTCCCGGCGGGACCCCCGACCCGCGGCGGGCGAGGAGCTGCGGAGGACACAGTCCCACGGGGACCTGCTCAGCGCCGCCGCGGAGGAGCCCCCGGCCCGCGGCATTCCCGGGATCCAGCGGCAGCAGCAGCAGCAGCAGCGCCGGGCCCCGGCCGGTGGGAAGAGCGGCAGCGCCTCGAGCATCGCCCCGGGGCACAAACCCGCCAGGGCCGCGGGCGAGGACCCGTCCTCGGACCCGGAGGCGGCCGGGGGGGACGTGGACACCAAGCCGCTGTCCTCGGTGGATTCCCTGATCAGCAAATTCGACGGGAAGGGGCAGCAGCAGCAGCGGGGAAGGGCCGCCAGGAGGGGCCGCATCCCCTCGGCCGAGAGGAAGCGCTCCCAGAGCCTGGACGACCGCGTGTCCCACCGGGATGTCCCGGACGCCCGCGTGTCCCACCGGGATGTCCCGGACGGCCGCGGGACTCGCCCCCAGCCCTCGGGACCCGCCGGCAGCCGCAGCCCCCCCCGTGGATCCGGGGGGATGGACGGGGCAGGGATGAAGGTCCAGCGGGGAATTCGGGCCGCGGAGGAGCAGAGCAAAGCCCGGGCAGAGCTGCAGGTATGAGGGGGGGGGCTCTGGATCCCGCTGGGGTCCCTTAACCGAGGGGGGCACGAGGGGGGCACTCGTGTCCCGGCTGGAGCTGAGCTTTTTACCCCTCCTGGCAGCTCAAATCCACCCCGGACCTGCTGCGGGATCAGCGGGAGGTGGCCCAGCCTGGCAGCAGTGAACACCCCAAGGAGCTCATCTACAGCATCCTGAAGGAGGGGTGAGCCCCCCAGGGCTCCCCCAAGAGCCCCCCGAGTGCCCCCTGAGTGCCCCATCATTCCCTGCCCCTTTCCCAAAGCCCCGCTGGCCGGGGCTGGGATGCAGGGGGGGTGGTTTGGGAGCAGGGATGGATTTGGGGGGGTGGAGTGTGGATTTTGGGGGGGTGGTTTGGGAGCAGGGATGGATTTTGGGGGGGGTGGTTTGGGAGGGGGGATGTCCCTGAGCTCAGGATTTTGGGGGGGGGTGGTTTGGGAGCAGGGATAGATTTTGGGGGGGTGGTTTGGGAGCAGGGATGGATTTTGGGGGGGTGATTTGGGAGCAGGGATGTTCCCAAGATCAGGATTTTGGGGGGATGGTTTGGGAGCAGGGATGGATTTTGGGGGGATGGTTTGGGAGCAGGGATGTCCCCTAGCTCAGGATTTTTGGGGGGGGGAGCTGAACAGCAAACGACTCGGGTGTTTGCACCCCCCATTCTGTGCCCCCTCCCACCATTCCCAACTGCTTCCCACAAATCCAACACCCCCAGGAGCAGTGAGAGTGAGATCTCCCTGAAGAGGAAAACCTCCCGGCTGCTGGAGAAGATGCAGGAGCTGGTGGTGAGTCGAGGCCATCCCGGGGCTGCCCCATTCCCAGGGATCCCCCAATCCCCCCCGGGGGCTCCTGCCTTCCCAGCACCGTGTCCTGACATCCCAGGGGTGGGATCCCCGTGGTTCTGGGGGGGGTTGCAGGACCCCAAACCCACCCAGTGAACCCCGGGGTGTCTCTCCAGGTGCCCCCCAAGGACGGGGCGTGTTCCCAACCCCAGCACAGGGAACTGGCCAGGAAGGTGGAGGAGCTGCAGGAGAAGCTCGATGAGGAGACCAAGGTGAGGCCGAGCAGGCTGGGGGGGCTTTTGGGGTCCCCAAATTACACCCCTGGGGGAGGGGAGGCACAGCAGGTCCCTGCTCTGACCCCCCTTCACTTGGGTGCCGGGTGAGACCGAGTCTGATTTCCCTGCTGGGTGCTCTGGGGGATGTTGGGGTGCAGGTGTCCTTCCTGGGGCGGGGAGGGGGGTCAGGAGCCCCCTCAAGGAGGGGGTGTCACCAGTGTCCCCTTGTCCCCTTGTCCCACAGCTCCGCCAGAAGCTGGAGCTGCCCGGGGGCCCCGCCCGGCTCCGCGAGGCCGAAGCGGAGACCCAGCAGCTCCGGGGGGCTCTGGAGAAGAAAAACCTGGAGCTACAGAGGAGTCTGCAGGAGTAAGAGCTGCCCCAGGGCACTGGGACATCTGTGGGGGGGTCTGTCCTTCCCAGGGGTGGGAATGCTGACGGTGGGGGGTCAGTGGGGTCACCCCCGTTGCCATCCCGGGATGAGCTGCCCGCGGATGTCGGTGCCCGTGGGCGGGGGTCCAGAGCGGGGAGCGGGTCCCTGAGGGATTCCCACACCTCTTTCCAGGCTGAAGGAGGTGAAATCCTCCAAGGAGCAGGTGGAGAGCCGGCTGGGGGACTGCGAGGAGCAGCTCCTGGCCACGCGCCGGGAGCTCGAGCGGCTGCGCCGGAGCTCCGGAGCTTCCCCGGACGCCGAGTCCCTGTACAAGGTACAGGCCTGGTGGTGGCCCCAGGGGGTGACTGTCCCATCGTGCCACCACCCTGCGCCTCATCCCGCCCCTGCAGGAGCTGCTGGAGGCCCGGGAGGAGCTGGAGGAGGCCCTGAGCTCGCGGCAGAGGCAGGAGGAGCAGCTGCGGCTGCGGGAGCGGGAGCTGACGGCGCTCAAGGGGGCCCTCAAGGAGGAGGTGGCCACCCACGACAAGGAGCTGGAGAGGGTCAGGCAGCAGTGCCAGAGCGACATGGACCAGCTGAGGAGGAGCATGGAGGGCATCTCGCAGGTCTGGGGGGCTGGGGGGCGGCTGGGGAGGGGGGCTGGGTGTCCCCAAATCCCCCCTTTTCAATGAGCCGGAAACAGGGTCTGTGTCCCACCCCAAACTCACCCCATTGCAGCATCCACCTGTCCTGGCTGAAGGTGATGGGGAGAGCTGGGGAGGGTCTGGGAACCCCAAAATTCCCCCTTTTAAGTGGTCCAGAGCTGGAAAGAGGGTCTGTGTCCCACCTCAAACTCACCCTGTTGCAGCATTCACCTGCTCCTGGCTGGAGGTGCCGGAGGGGGATCCCAGATGGTTTGTGGAGGTTTTGGGGCTCCCTGGACTCCTTTGTGGGCTCCCCTGGCTGGAGGTGGTGGGGAGGGTCTGGGAGCCCCTAAATTCCCCCTTTTAAACAATCCAGAGCTGGAAACAGGGTCTGTGTCCCACCCCAAACTCACCCCATCAGAGAATCCACCTGCTCCTGGCTGGAGGTGCCGGGGAAGGTCTGGGAGCCCCTGAATTCCCCCTTTTAAACAGTTTGGGGTCTGTGTCCCACCCCAAACTCCACCGCCCTGGCTGGAGGTGCCGGGGGGGATCCCAGATGGTTTGTGGAGGTTTTGGGGCTCCCCCGGGTCCTGTCCCTGCCGGGCAGGACCTCAGCGTGGCTGGAGCATCCCGTGGTGCTGCTTCCCTGCAGGATAAAGCCAACCTGGAGTCGGAGAGGCAGAAGGTGGGCGCGGTGGTGAGGAACCTGCAGCGGGAGCTGGAGGAGAGCGCGGAGGAGACGGGGCACTGGCGGGACATGTTCCAGAAGAACAAGGACGAGCTCAGGAACACCAAGCAGGAGTAAGTGCTGGAGCTGTGGCCGAGCCAGAGGCCACCAGGAGCCTTTGGGAAGGTCCAGCTGGCTTGGGATTGTCCAGTGATTTTACTCCAAATCCCGTTAAAACGGGTCGGGAGCGGGGATGGGGCTGGTTCTCCTCCTCCTCCTCCTCCTCCTCCTCCTCCTCC